CAAATAAATACACACACAGATTATTCCTTTCCCTTATTTATATCCAAAATGTAGCCTATAGTAATACTGTTCTGAATCTTACTTTTTCCTTGGAGAGCTTCCGTACCAGTTCATTAAGAACATTCTCCTTTCTTTTTCAAAGCTGTATAATATTCCATTGCATGGATGTGCCATAGTGTATTTGCCTTTTCCTCTATTAGTGGATTTTTGGGTTGTTTCCAGTTTTTTGAGATCACAAACTGTGTTGCAGTGAGTAACTTTTTAAATACATCATTTTGCACGTTTCAGGTGTATCTTAGAGTACATCCCCAAAGTGGAATCACTAGATCAAAGGACACGTGCATTTGATAGATATTTCCAAACTGTAATTTCCTTTTTGTTCCTTGGCAAGCTGAAACAGATTTTACAGCCTCAAAGGAGAGTAGATTATACAAACCAACCTTTTAATAATGCTTTTCTATTTGTATAATGCTTTATAGTTTAAACATAAATGAGTGTATTTGATTCCCCACAGTAACCCCAAATAATAGGACAGGAATTATTATACCCACTTTAAAGATTAGGAAAGTGAGGCTAAGCAAAGTTAAGTGAGCTGTCCAAGATCATAAAGTAAATAAGTAGGAAAGCCCAAATTTTCTGATTTAATTTCCTTTCTGGCAAAAAGATTTATTGGGTGGCTGGGTGGTTTTTATTTTAAATGGTTGACCTTATTTGTGAAATTATTTGGTTTAATATGATAACAATAGCTAATATTTATTGAGTGTTGCTGTGTCCCAGACACCATTCCAAGGTCTTTATGTACTCATCTAATCCTCACAACAGTACTCTGTCACCTGTGTAATTGGGTCGGATATATATATGAAACATACAACCTTTGCCCTAGATTACTGACAGTTTTTTCCTGTAGAAATTGCAGAATCTTAGAAAAGTAAGTGTATCTTGTATGTTCATCTTTATTTGCACTATTATAACACATGTGTTAAACACTTAATACATGCCAGGAAGTTCACCAAGCATCAGGGATACAAAGACATTTGACAAAATCCCTGTCCTGGAGGAGCTGAAAAGAAAGCAGATAGAGAGACAGATGTTGATATAAAAATGGATATCCTATATACAAGAAAAAACCACAAGGCATCATTCAAGTGCCAGTTGAGTGCCAGCCCCTCAACCTGCTGCATGAGTCCTAAGGAGAAATGTGTACTGGCAGGGACTGGGGACGCTTTACTAAGAACCCGGAACTTGGTCCGGCCTTCGAGGCTAGGGCAGTCACTAAGGTGAGGAGGTGGAGACCTCCCCCGGCAGAAGGGACAGAGGTTGAAGACAGCCTGTGATGTTAGGAGATGACAGGTGACCAATTACGCTGGATCAGAGAATCAGGGAATAGAAGGAGAGAGAGAAGTGGTGGGGGGAGGCCACTGAACAAGTCTGAAAGTGTCTGCCTGCCAAGCAAGGTGGCTGGATTTCATCTTGTAGGCAAGAAAGAGACACTGAGGGCGAGGGAATGACGTTGACCAGCCTGAGTTTGGGAAGATGCATAATCTGATGGTGCTGCACAGAATTGAAGGAGATTAGCGTACCAGTGGGGAGGGAAAGGCCCAGGAAATTACGTTTATCTTAGGTCTAGAATGTTCCAGGCCCGGTAGATGCTTTCAAAGGAGCGGTGACAAAAACAGTAGCTGCATTTATCAAGTGCCAGCCACTGTGCTGCTAAGAACGTATTTAATCATCAGAAGTCAGAGAATTTAAATGACGTATTCAAGATTACACAAACAATAAGTGGCCTAGTCAGGTTTTGAACCTCAGTTCTTTCTGACTCCAAAGTCACATCTGATCTTTCTGCTACCAAATTCTGCTCATGTCCCCAGCCTCCCCAAGTCAGAAGGAGGAGCAGCTCTCCAGGCAATGGAGGTCTGGACTAGGATGGTGATGGGAATGGAAAAGAAGAGGCAGCTGGGAAACATATACCAAATACCCTGGCTCTTCTTGCTCATTCATTATGAATCTCAACCCCTGGGTCTACGAGAAGGGAGAATTACAGTCTGCCTCCATAGAGAGGAAGAAATCTCAGGACAGCTTGTCTTTATTTGCTGCCCAGGAATCATGCCCTCCTGGACAGCGAGCCCTTTGGCTTGCCTTGGAGTCAAGGAAGGTTGTATTGAGCTGGATCCTGCTACCAGATGGCTGTCTACCTCCTTCACTGACTTGCGCTTGATCTTGGTTTTGCTAGTTTATATGCTATGGCAGCATAAGACAAGTTTAGCAGACAAAAATAACCTTGGAATTATCTTGTGAATTCATGGTAATTACCACGCAATTACATGCTCAGTAACCACAATGGAATTCCAGAGTATTTACAGTTTACTTGCATATACAAAAGCTCAGGCTTCTGGGCTTTCTTTGTGAAGGTGGGAGCATGGCGAGGCCTGGCATGGCAGGGCAGGCAGGCCTGGTGGCCACCCCTCCAGGATGACTAAACAGCCGAGCCAGAACTTCTCTTGTTACCCCACCCATAGGAGCCCTAGTGGTGCAGTGGTAAGTGCTCAACCGCTAACCGAAACATCGGTGGTTTAAATCCACCAGCCACTCCACGGGAGAAAGATGTGGCAGTCTGCTTCCATAAACATCACAGCCTTAGACACCCTGTGGGACAGTTCTTCCCTGTCCTATAGAGTTGCTATGAGTCAGAATTGACTCGACGGCACACAACAATAATATACCCCACCAGTAATTCCTAGGTCTGCCAGAACAACCATGCCTTCCAAAAGATGTCCTCCAGAGGGCAAGGCCTGGAGTGATTGCTCTGAGTTGTTATTCTCTAAAGATGGTCGTGACTGTCCTCTGTGCTTGTAAATCACTTACTTCTACCCAAAGGACTCACTGACTGGAAGTCCCTTGATTTATAGCCTTTCAAGTATCTCTTAGTTCAGAGGGAAGTGCTATCTACTTTTCTATTATTTATTCATTCCTTCTTTCATTCAAAACACAACAAGTGCCGTTGTGTGCTAGCATAGTGTACAACCTGGGGATTCAAACACCAAACAGTGCCTGCCCTCAGAGAGCTCCCAGGCATGTAAGGGAGACAGCCAGGGACAACTCCTCATCGGTCACTAGGGTAACAAGTACACTTGTGAGGTGTATGATGGTCAAATCAATTTTCTTTTGTGAAAAAAAAAAAAATCCCAATGGCTACAAATGGGAAAGTTTTAACGGAGGTGCACAACACGAGATGAATTAGCCTGTGAGGCTTAACATTTTTATAGATTTGGACTCTGGTAAATGCAGCAGCCTTAATCAATGATGCTGTTGATGTGACCCATAGATACAGCACTGGATATAAGCTGAAAGAAGGCACACCATGTGTGACAAGAGGTAAACATGAAATCTGAGTGTGCAAATGTGTGCAAGTGTGTGTATGCATGAGACAGAGAGACAGATGCAGCAGGGGATGGGTGTTCATTCTTTGCTGGGCACTCAGTCAGTCCCAGTTCCCCCTTGTTATCTCAGAGACACAGATAGAACTCAAGGTCTGACTGTAGATGAGCATCAGGTCGTTCTGACCCCTTGCAGCCAGCTGTGGACCTCCTTTTCCTTCTATTCCAAGTCACTGTAGCAGGCACTTGGCTATCCAGCACCTGAGGGTCTCCAAAGTTCATAACCTGGTCCAATCACCTTCATTTTCTCTGCCCTAAGGTTACCCATGGCCCTATGTGCAGTTCTACAAATTTCGGGTTATCCAAGGACAAACACAGTTGATTGTCAAAAACAAATATCATATCTCACAAAGGACACACTATTATAAATACCTTTCCTCTACTGCCAGGATCCAATACTTGATTTTGTGCATACTGTGTTTATGTTAAATGTTTTGAGGAAATAGATAATCACAATACTGTAACTGATGTCCTTGGGAGAGCTCCCACTGATAGACGCACAACCCAGACCAAGAATGGCAGCTTTTCAAACAAAGAAAGCAGTTAGAATCAAAATTCTAACATTTGTCCTCTCCGGAAGTTGGAGTATAACTCCTGAGAGTGAAAGAATGAATGAATAAAATAAAAATTAGACAGCACTTCCCTCGGAACCAAGAGATACTTGAAAAGCTATAAATCAAGGGACTTTTGGTCAGTGAGTCCTCTGGATGGAAGCAAGTGACTTACAAGCACAGAGGACAGTCACAACCATCCTTAGAGAATGACAGCACAGAGCAATCACTCCAGGCCCTGCCCTCAGAGAACTCCCGGTCATGTGACAGAAGCAACTCATTATAGACAAAGAATGGCAGCTTTTCAAACAAAGAAAGCAGTTAGAATAAAATTCTAACATTTGCTCTCTCAAGGAGTTGGAGCATAACTCCTCATCCCTTAAGTGATAGGGAAAATAAGTACCTTTAGTGGAGAACCCTGGCAAACACTGCCTTAGTCAGGTGATCAAGGTTGACATCATCAGTGATAAGTCATGTCGATAGCACGTATCCTTGTTCTTAGGGGCTGAGAATAGCACTTCGCTTCTCTGGTCTTACTTCCCCAAACCCATAATCCCTGTTTCACCATGGGAAAAACATCAGACAAACCCAAATTTAGGGGCATTCTACAGAATACGTGACCAGTATCCCTCAAAACAGTCAAGGTCACCAAAAACAAGGAACTCCTGAGAAAGTGTCACAGCCAAGAGGAACCTGAAGAGGCATGGTGACCAAATAAGATCTGGTATCCTAGATGGGATCGTGGAACAGAAAAAGGACATTAAGGGAAAACGAATGAAATCGGAGTAAAGTATGGACTTTAGTTCATAGCAGTGTACCAGTTTGTTCCTTAGTTGTGACAGACGTACCCTGGCAATGCAAGACCTTAACCATAGGGGAAACTGGGTGTGCGGTGTACGGGAAGGCGCAGTAGTATCTTTGCAACTTTTCTGTAAATCTACAAATATTCTAAAATGAAAAGTGTATTTAAATACATATATTTTTTTATTCTAACATTCAGCATGGTCTTTTCCAGTCGTCGGCCACCAGTCGCTATGCAGTAATGACCACCCAGCTGAAGCACAACAATCTTTCCCTGGTTTTCCACTATGTTTTTCTCCAGATGTGTAAGGCCCATGGCATCGGCTATGACATCGAGGTATGACGGGTTACAGTTGGCCAGGGCTGGACCAAGTACAGGGCTGTGGGCAACCTGGGCAGCTAGTAAGTCGGTGCCTCTTCAAAAAGATATTCTTTAAGTATTAGTTCAGCATGTATTTAGAGGGAGGCTGGATGCTGCTTGGGGAAGGTCACTGGTGGGGCACTCAACCCTGAGACGTTCAGCTCTGTCCCTGAACTTGCACAACCTGCCACCCTTGGTAAGACAAAAGACCTGCAGCTCAACAGACCTAGAAGGCCTTTTGGGGACCACCTCTTGAATCTGAAGCATGCCCTGAGCTTCCCGATCCTTCCCAAAGCTGCTTATCAAGGAATATCTTCCTAACTATATAGATTAGTTTCTTTCCAAGAGGAGTTCTGGTGAAAACCATTTTCCTCAATTTTGGTCTATTTCCAATGATATTGGTGGCTCCTGCCCAGCTGCCTCATCTCTTAATCCAGCTTTCTAACTGGATGGGAGCACGTGGACTATAATGTCTCCTACCTAAACTACAGAAAAGAAACTGTTGCCATCGAGTCGACTCCAACTCATGTCGACCACGTGTGTATCAGAGTGGAACTGTGCTCCACGGGGTTTTCAATGACTCCACTTTGTGCCTGAAGACTTACTCTGGAGAAATAGTATCAAGTTTTCTCACATTGGTTCAGATTTTCAAATCTCTGACACTCAGGGCTGTTCTAAGACCTTGAGTGACCCTGTGTTCTCTTACATGTGGAAGTTTCATCCATTTCACATCAACTATATTAAAATATGTTCATCTCTCACATTAGATATAATTTATATATAAAAAAAAACCTAAACTAAACCCGTTGCCGTTGAGTCGATTCTGACTCACAGTGACCCTGTAGGACAGAGTAGAACTGCACCATCGGGTTTCCAAGGAGCGGCTGGTGATTCCAACTGCCAGCCTTTTGGTTAGCAGCCGAGCTCTTAGCCACTGCGCCACCAGGGCTCCAATTTATATATAATGACATAATTACTGAGCAGTAACTAGATTGAGAGGAACCCTGGTGGCACAGTGGTTAAGCTCTTGGCTGTTAACTAAAAGGTTGACGGTTCAAATCCACCAGCAGCTCTGCGGGAGAAAGATGTGGCAGCCTGCTCCTATAAAGATTACGGCCTTGGAAACCCTATGGGGCAATTCTACCCAGTCCAGTAGAGTCTCTATGAGTCATAATTGACTTGACGGCAGTGGGGTAACTAGATTGGATGTTTAGATTTATAGATATTCAAATGTACATTTATTATTTTATATTTTTCATATTTGAGAACCAATACAATTTTCCAGGGGTCAAATTTTTTATCGGCCCTTAGAAAGCATACAGACCTTAGGCACAGGGCCAAGAGTGCCTTGAATGGCTTGGCTGGCATTTGGCAATCCCCACTGAGCTGCCTGGACACAGGTGCCTAAGGTCCTATGGTTACATTGATTCATGCTGTTTGCAAACATGTACAATGGAGCTTATATTCCCTTGCAAATTACATTAAAATTGATAAACTACAGAAAGAATGAAAAATCCAGATTGAACCAATTTACCTGGAATTAATTGTTCATCTGCTGCACATAATCCCTTTGGAATTAAATAGTTTTTAGCCCCAAACTGATGCTTCCATATACCAGAAAATGGCTAAATTTAACTCTAGCTTTATCCAAATCTATTTCTTCCATTTTTTCTAAAATATCAAAGCAGAACAAGCCCTGTGACTAGGCATATTTGGCAGGGAAGGTCTCCTGCCCCAGAGAAAATGTGTATCCCTTTCTATTGCCAGAAATTATCATTTGAGATTTATTTCTTTGGCTGAAGGCTTGGTACTTGATTGAAGTTCTAGTACCTTTGGGAAAAGTAAAGTACTGAACTTCGTAAGTTCTTTATACTTTTGTGGGTCTGAGTTGATCAGGTCCATTTCTAAGAATAGATTTTCATAAAGGAAACAGACTGTTAAGGCCCAGGGATCTTAACCAGTTGGATGGTGCAGAGGAAGGGGTTCCACTGGGGCCAGGGGGCTCACTGTGGAGAGCTGCAGAAAGGGGCAGGTGGACGGGCACCAAAGTCATAACCAGCATAGTTTCATAGACTCTGCTTCCAGGGTGCCTATGCTAAACAAGTTATAAACGATGAAAGACAAAATGGGAGAGAAGGAGAAATACAGATTGGGGTTAATGGAGTGATGGAACAATATGAAGAAGAAAAAGATAACAAGGAAAGAGAGGATAAAATCTGGAGGCTACAAGAATTCATTTTTTAAAAAGGAGAGGATAAGCAGAAAAAGAGCAAGTAATAAGCAGAAGTGTAAGAAGAGAGGAAGAGAGAAACAACAGCATCATTAAAAGCTGGAGTAGGGAGAAGAGGTCATGTGACTACTCAGAAAATTTGGAAATTCTCTAGCCACATCCTTGCTCTATTTTTCCTGAGGAGCCCTGGTGGTGCAGTGGTTAAGCCCTTGACTGCTAACCAAAAGGTCTGCAGAAGAAAGATGTGGCAGTCTGCTTCCATAAAGATTTACAGCCTTGGAAACCCTATGGGGCAGTTCGACTCTGTCCTACAGGGCCACTCTGAGTCGGAATCAACTCAGCAGCAATGGGTTTGGGTTTTGGTATTTTTCCCACAGTGGGTTCTCATCTTTCCAGAGCCTGGAGTCCATCCTGGACAGGATTCTCCACTGCTTTCTTAATTGCCTTCTATGGGGAGGCAGGTGATGAACCAATGTTTACAGAGCACTGTCTATGGGCCAACCACTGAGCTAAGCACATTTACTTCATCATCTCATTTAATCTTCATGAATGTCTATGAGAAGGTATTATTTCTACCATATCACAGGTGAGGATTTTAGGTTTAAAGAGTTTAAGCACTTTCTCAAGGCCACACAGCCACATATTTTGTAGAACTTGAGATTTGACCCAGAATTGTCCATTAAGACAAGCAAGATTCTTCCTCTTACACCAAAGTCGTCTGTATGTATTTTTCTCCCATTAAAGACTATTTTCCGCTAACTGTATATATTTCTAAACTATTATTACCAACCAAATCAAGAATTCTGGGATCCTTTTGAAACGAAATATTCCTTCTAGGTACTTCTTACATATACTTGAGCTGGGGAAGCTCAAACTTCTTTTCATAGTCCCAATGAATATTTCCACCTTACAAAAGAAAAAAAAAATGGCATGTTAAACAATTAACTTTCCGAAAGTTTTACTGCCCTTTTGGGTCATGCTGAGCCTAACAAGGAGATCACCTACCGTAATTCCAGTAGAACCGCTGCTACCTGCTCCCAGTCTTGGTTGAATGTAACGTGAGCACTCTTTCCAGAAAAAGAAAGTAGCATTAACAATATATCAGCGTCAAAGCTACCAAAAGAAGAGTCCTTGGAGTCCTTATTCTCGACATTGTGTTTTTCTTCCCATTATTACCACAGAATTTCAAATGACGTTTCATGTCTGTAGTCTTAGGAAAGAAAGGGAAATGAGATCCCCCTATGAGTTTATTTTTCCTTGCTGAATATTTGAAGGAAGCATTGCTGAGTTCGTAAGCAACTTGGTGGGTCTGATTGCTGGTGTTTCTGTAATGCGACAGATACCCCCACTGATTTCCTAATGAAATGAAGTTGTAATGAAAGCCACATGGAGAAAGGCGGCGTGTTTACCGCCTGCAACGGTGTGGAGCAGGGCTGGTCTCGCACATACACAGTCAGTACGCCATAGTCCTAAATGTCTCCACGACTGCCAACACTCATTTCCTCCAGTCCGGGTATGGCCATGGCGGCAGTCATTAGAGCTGCTCACAGACATTCTGATTCTCCTCCTTCTGTGCACATAAAAGAATTACATTTCCTCCACCTTCCCCCTGAAGTTGGGCATGCCATGTACCTTGTTCGGGTCAGTGAAATATGAACAGAAGTAATGTATGTCCTTTCTACGCAGAAACGTTCAAGAGCCACTGCATGAGTTGCCATATCCCTTTTCCTTTCCTGCCTTGGCAATCATGGAAGCACACTGAGGTGGAACCTCCTTCAGCCTGGGTCCTTGAATATACCAGCAGCGAACTGAGGCCCGCGCCAAATTATGTTGGAAATGGAGCATGATGGGGAACTACGCTTTTGTTGTTATAAGTAACTAGGAATGTTTTTAAATTAATGCAGCATAACCTAGCCCACCTACTTGATTCAGAAATTAGCATCAGGAGAAGGGTGTTGCCAAAACAGAAGCCTAACATTTTGGTATTGGCTTAGTGTTCAGGCAATGGGTGGCAAGGAAACAGTTAACGGAGATTAGAGGGCTGACAATCCATTTTATGCAGTAATGAAATGTTTTGTAAAAATGCCACCTGTGATAGCTTGGAAGGCAAATAATATCCTAATGTACCTATGGCTCTAAAATAAATAATTGGAGAATATAATGTTAATATGCATATTGGTCATTGTTAGCTGCATTTGGCAAGATCTTAGAAGAAAACTATCAGCTTCTAAATTATTTAGCCAGTTTGCAAACAGAAATGAAAGGGAATAGAGTGATTCCAGAAGTTTAGGACTTCGCAGAGTTGGAAATGGTGAACTGATTTTAAACCTCAAAAAGTTTGAAACTTCAAAATTTTTTTAAATTAGAAAAGATTTGCACAGCAAAAGCCAATTAAAACTCAGCCTTGCAAACCCAAAACCAGATCAGTGCCGTCGAGTCAATTCCGACTCATAACCACTCTATAGGATGGAGTAGAACTGCCCCATAGGGTTTCTAAGGAGCAGCTGGTGGATTTGAACTGCCAACCTTTTGGTTAGCAGCCAAATTCTTAACCGCTGTGCCACCAGGGCTCCCTCAACCTTGTAGTCAGGGTCAAATATAAAAGTATGGCTATAACATACCTTTAAAACCTTTGAATGGATTAAAGTATCTCAGAGTAAAGATCCAACAAAGATTTCAGCATCAGTAACCTTTTCATTTGGAAAGAATAGCTCAGGGAATGCAGACAAATATTATAGCCATCCTA